TTCAAAACCATTGCCCCGGCAGTTCTGTATGGCTAGGGGTTATAGATTCTACTCCAATAAATAGCTTTTGGGTAGTACTACAACGAGGGGCCAAAGAATTTCTGGGGTAAGCATTCCTAGAGGACGAAAATTGCGTCCGAAACATGGAAATAAAGCCCAATTCGATAAAATACGCATTGGGGGCACCCACTTTCCGACCCATTGTCTCGGTAGTTCTTTATGGCTAGGCATTATAGACGCTGCCCTAAGGAATAGCTATTGGATAGAACTACAACGTGAGGGTAAAGAATTTCTGGGGTAAGCATTCTTAAAGGCCGAAAATTTCGTCCGTAACACGGAAAAAAAGTCATATTTGATAAAATATGCACTGGATTCAACTAGAACGGGACAGTGCGTCATAAGTCAAATTAATTTTTTTTTCTTTGCTTGCCATACATTGATTACAAAAAATAAACCCACCATCTTATTAAATTCAAGCGCAAGCCACTTGCACGAAAAATGCGTAATACACTTGTTCTGCTTTGTTTTACAAGACATTTGCTATAATACAGATAATATCAGTTAATCATTCAACATAGACATATTGCTATTTTTTCGGAACTACTTTAGAGGATGCCGAGAGTATGGAAGGCCATTTCACAATATGACTGCCAAAATTAATATAGTGAAAAAGTTATTAGATAACAAAACATTAAGATATAATCGGATTTTTTGGCGTATACATTCCTTAGATGCGAACATTCGAATCTTTGAAATATTGTTTGTGTTTGATGAAGATCTAGCACATTAAATGACATTAAAGTAGTCTAAGAGATATGGGACGCACGATCGGTCTTATTCGTTTACTGTCAACGAAACAATGAACAGTGCCGAATGTTGGTACTGTATGATGTATGTTCTTCTTTAATAAATAAATCATTTATTTACTGATTCACATATGAAGTTGACACACTATAGTAATGACTACCCAGATAATTGGTTGGAAATTGGGTGACCCTAGAGCGTATTTTATCGAATTTTGCTTATTTCCATGTTTCGGACGACATTTTGGCCTGTAAGAATGCTTACCCCAGAAATTCTTTACTCTCCCGTTGTAGTAATATCAAATAGCTATTCATTAGAGCAGAGTCTCTAATCCCTAGCCATAAAGAACTACAGAATTAATGGGTCGGAAAGTGCGTACCCCAATGCGTATTTTATAGAATTTGGCTTTTTTCCATGTTTCGAACGAAATTTTGGGCTTTTAAGAATGCTTACCCCAGAGATTATCTACTATCCCAATGTAGTACTATATAATAGCTGTTCATTGAAGCAGAGTTTTTAATCCCTAGCCCTAAAGAACTACATAGACAATTGGTTGGAAAGTGGGTGACCCTAGAGCGTATTTTATCGAATTTGGCTTTATTTCCGTGTTTCGAACGAAATGTTGGGCCTTTAAGAAAGCGTACCCCATAAATTCTTTACCCTCCCGTTGTAGTACTATCCAATAGCTATTTATTAGAGCAGAGTCTATAATCCCTAGCTATAAAGAACTACCAAATTAATGGGTCGGAAAGTGGGTACCTCAATGCGTATTTCATCGAATTTGGCTTTTTTTCCGTGTTTCGAACGAAATTTTCGGCCTTTAAGAATGCTTACCCCAGAAATTCTCTACTATCCCAATGTAGTACTATATAATACCGGTAGCTATTCATTGAAGCAGATTCTATAATCCCTAGCCATTAAGAACTAGCCAGATGATTGGTTGGAAAGTGTGTGATCCTAGAGCGTATTTTATCGAATTTGGCTTTATATCCATATTTCGGACGAAATTTTCGGCCTTAAAGAATGCTTACCCAAAACATTCTTTACCCTCCCGATGTAGTACTATATGATAGCTATTCATCGAAGCAGAGTCTCTAATCCCTAGCCATTAAGAACTACCCAGACAATTTGTTGAAAAGAGGGTGACCATTGAGCGTATTTTATCGAATTTGGCTTTATTTCCGTGTTTCGAACGATATTTTGGCCCTTTAATAAAGCTAACCCCAGAAATTCTTTACCTTCCCGTTGTAGTACTACTCAATAGCTATTTATTGAAGAAGAGTTTATAATCCCTACTCATTAAGAACTACCAAGATAATTGGTTGGAAAGCGGGTGACCCTAGAGCGTATTTTATCGAATTTGGCTTTTTTACGTGTTTCGAACGAAATTTTGGGCCTTTAAGAATGTTTACTCCAGAAATTCTCTACTATCCAATGTAGTACTATATAATAGCTATCCATTGAAGCAGAGTCTATAATCCCTAGCCATTAAGAACTACCCAGATAATCGGTTGGAAAGTGGGTGACCCTAGAGCGTATTTTATCGAATTTTGCTTATTTCCATGTTTCGGACGACATTTTCGGCCTTTAAAAATGCTAACCCCAGAAATTCATTACCCTCCCGTTGTAGTAATATTCAATAGTTATTGATTAGAGCTGAGTCTCTAATCCCTAGCCATAAAAAACTACCAAAACAATGGGTCGGAAAGTGGGTACCGGAATGCGTATTATATCGTATTTTGCTTTATTTGCATATTTCGGACGAAATTTTCGGCCTTTAAGAAAGCTAACCCCAAAAATTCGTTACCTTCCCGTTGTAGTACTATATAATAGCTGTTCATTGAAGCAGAGTCTTTAATCCTTAGCCATAAGGAACTACCCAGACAATTGGTTGGAAAGTGGGTGACCCTAGAGCGTATTTTATCGAATTTGGCTTTATTTCCGTGTTTCGAACGAAATTTTGGGCCTTTAAGAAAGCTAACCCAAGAAATTCTTAAACATGCATAAAAACGAAACCATATCCGGGACTTCACAGATGTATATCTTTTTGTGAATCGTCATGATTTTTCTAATTGTAAATTCTAGTTATAGACCGTAAAGATGAGTTAGAAATTTGTAAACTAAAGCTAGAAATTTGTGAATGGGATATAAAAAACTTTATATTTATCTTTTTTTTCAAACAAAACAAGTCAAAAACCATGATTTTGAAAAAAATAAAATCTAATGGTTTATTGTAACCTATACGGTATTTAATACTTTCTAGAATCATGCAATTCATAGTTCGTTATATGCACAAATATATATGCCACACAAAAGTCATCTTCAAAACGTTCTGGCATTTCTCTCTGAATTTTCACAATTTTTTATCAGAGGTGACCCCAGTCAATAATTTAAAATCTAATGGTTTATTGTAACCTATAGGACGCTAGCTGTCACAAAGGAATTTCTTTAAATAATTGTTATCATATTTCATGTAAACAAACCTTTAATGTGAATTAGGTGCACATATCAAAATGATCGGATTTATTGCATCTATAAATAGCATCAGTGGAAATACCAGATTTCACACTAAATAGAGTTTAATTGGTTTGACAAATAGCTGATGTATTTACGGCAGCCGCATCAAATATAAATACGGACATATAATTAGTATCAGATACTTATGATATAATCAAGCAAGTGATTATATCAACCTATCGATCGCGATGTATTCAATCTGATTTTCTCACCCTCTTCATGAAATAGTGACCTATTTTAGCTCATCACTACCACTCATTACATAGTAAGTGGCCCCGAGATCTTCAGATCTACCTTTTTAAACGCATTTAAGTAACATATATATAATTGTGTGTGTTTTATCAATAGCTAATACTGTGGTATTATCTTTGTGGCGTTATCAACCATGTATAATTACGCATGCTATTCTATGCATCGGTTTCCAATGTTTGAATGAGTTTACAAAAATTATTACTTGATATTGACCTTCAAGATAAAACCGCAACCTAGATAAAGGTAGAATTTTGCGAAAGACTGTAATTATTTGTGGTTCCGCTTTTAACAAACAGGATGTTTGATTATGATAAGGAAGAATTGAAGCTGCATTATGTTGTGTCAAAACTTTAAAGAATCCAGAGTGTAACAAAACTCCACTTAACTTAATAGTCATTTCATCATAAAGTTTATAACACAATTCCGTCTGTTGAACACGTACGGTTTCTACATTTTCCAATTTTTTTACATAAAACTACATATCACACATACAGAGAAAAGTATATTTAATTCTAGGTATCTATTTAAACTTAGGCCTACATATTATTTCTTGTTAATATCTCTTACTCATTTTTTTAGTTCGTAATATACTATACAATATAAAAAAGAAGATGTGGTATGATTTCAAAAGAGACAACTCTCCACAAGAGACAAAATAACACAAAAAATAACTGCTAAAGGTGACACCGTACGGCCTTCAACAATGAACCCAAACCGCATAGTTAATAAACTGCACTTTCTTATCTGTTTTGGGACCTTATATAAAATTATCACTAACATTGGTTATAAAGATAATTTGTGTTGTTAGTTGATTTACAAAATTCAACTCCGACATTTGGTTTAAGTCTTAATGTTCTTTATCTTACATTATTGAATATATATATATATATTGAAGTTTTAAGTTTTGTCCACGCTGTGCATAAAAAAGGGGAAAAATTAAGGCTGAAAATGCACCAAGTATTTATATTCAATTCATCCATGAGTATTTGTTAAGCAGTGAAGCCAGTAGAATTCTATTGAAACATTTTTCAACAATTTGATGCTTGAACAGACAAAATGTGAATATTCGTATTGAATATGAATATATCGTGCATTTTCACCCTTATTTTTCCTATATTTTTTTTACCTATATATATACTTTATCTATCCAACGCAATTATAATTTTGAACGTTGTTTTCAATTTAGATTTGTATAGTAGCATGAGTTCGAATCCCGGCGAGGGAAGAACAAAAAAATCTAACATTGTTGGGCTGATGTTTAGACGAGTTATATATATATAAATACTTAAAATTGAATTCTCCGTCCAAACTAGTAGAAAAAGAAATTAAATTAAATTTCAAAATGCTCTTAAAGTCCTTTAATCTTCTACATTTTTTCACCAACCGGTTTCATATCTTTGTAATAATCATGGATGATAATGAATATATATATATATATATATATATAGCTATCTTGGCATAGGAAAGTCACCGGCTAGGGGGTATTTTGATCAGTTATGTAGCCCTCGACATAATGTCACCTTTTGGACTGGCTACCTTAACTTTGAGATGATCTACAGAGAGAACTGTTCAGATTCTGAGCTTGAAAAATGTACCATTCGAAAGAGCAACATTTAAGAATTTCAAAACACCAAAAATTACTTTATAATGTTTTAGAATAAAAAAGTTATTAAACTTTTAATGGACCCACCCTCAATTTCGTATATATCCGAATTGGTACAAACGATAGTAAGGTGACCACCAATTTTAAACATGATTATTTATCAGAAAACCTACATATATCTTAATTTCTACAGTATATAATTGTATCTTAATGTATTCTTTAATTTCTGGACAACAAAAACCATTCCGGACCTAAGGCGTTTAAGAAATTAAAAGGATATATATCGAGCATGTGTATGTTCGCACTAAGAATTCAGAGAGCTTAAAAACATATATAAACATACGGGCATTTACATATGAGTGATAATGGCGGATACCTGAAGCGGTGACCTATTTCACATATTCTGCCTTGGAAAGTGATTTTTATCAACTGTGAATTCTTAATTTTATGGTAAGTTTATTTTATTTCATTGTAGAATTCCAGCAATACCAATAAAGTCTCAAATAATTATTGCATAACCAAAACAACAATGTCATTGACCCTCGTGTATTTTGATATCTTATCCCACTCTTGGTTTGTACGTTCCCTTATTTATTGCATCTCAATTCGACGTGTTTATTATTAAATAACTGAAGACAATCATTGAACGTGGCAAATTTAGTTTCGGCATTAAAATATGCTGCGTTTTATTAAAAAGGGGGAGGGATGAACATTGCGATAATAACCGAGTGTCAGTAAGAGTATAATACCGTTGAAAGGGGGCAAACAATGCAACGTCTATATACATAGCTACAAGACAAGTCTATGCATTAACCAAAAATGTAGCTCAAAAATGTGGACAGAACCCGGGACCCCTGCCCCCATCCCCAAATGTATGCACCTTTGGACGTGAAACAGTGTAAATTGGGATTGGGATGTGATCTTATTTCTACAGTTCTATGAAAATAGACCAGACTAAAATGAACAATAATAGTAAAAATTGTTAATCACAACTGATCTCAATAAAAACATGGCATTAACTAAGTAACAATTCTTGCAGTGATTTTTATCATATCAAACGTCTTGGATAACATTTGTCTTTGTTATTTTCTTGGACGTACATATTGTCAATGATTGTTTATTGGTCACAGGAGTCCGTTTCACAAAAAAAACTTATGACTAAGATTGATTGTAAGTCATGAACAATTCAGAATACTTACTATCAATCTTAGTCGCATGTTATTTTTTTTGTGAAACCGACTCCAGGTATATTTTGCATTGACAATGTTCTTCATTTATTTCAAAGATGAGCAACCAATTTCAAATGTTTTTCCTGGGGACAGTATATCTATATATGTTCCTGGTTAGACTGCACATTTTAATACTGGACTGCATGTTTTCTATCAAAAGATTAAGTACTTTGAGCTTGCTTTCAGTGACTGTGCCAATGTTGGTTGTCTTTGTACTTGGTGTGTGCACTTCAATCCTTTAGTGGTAGGGTTTAACAGCTGAGACATCCATAACCCAATTTGATATCGTACATGTAGGTACATGTAACTACAAAATAATAGTAATTATTATACCTCAGATATCATATTCTATATACATGTATATATATATATATAAAATAAGTACGCAATATTTTCACTATTTTTTAAATTGCAAGCATTGAACTATTTGACCGGTCAATAGTTTCCAACTATTGGACCTCAGTGAAACTATTCGACCACAAGCATCATTATTATTCGCAGAATTTCAAATGCAGCCACGGGATTGGATGTTGAATGTTGAGAATATCGCAGGAGTTACAATGTCGCCTTTTACCTATTGTATCTAGGGTTCATGTTAGTGCGGGTCGTAGCTATAGATTTCAAAATATTATATATGATTAAACGTTAAAAACAGTGGTTGTGTTTCTGCTTTTTATATTGCTATAGTTGATTTAGCCCCGACATTTATCGTCTGTTGTGTCTTTCCTAATAAAAATACATTTACTAACTGGTAATTGTGGGATAGTAAGTTTATTGTCCCCTCAGATACAACTATTGGCCTCGGCTATGCCTCAGGGCAATTGTTGCACCTCAGGGGACAATTAACTTACTATTCCACTCATTCCCTATTCAATAAGTAAAAAATGTGGTGTATATGTCAATGAGACAGTAACATGGGTTACTGAACCACACAAATAACCAAGCGACATTAAGATAACAACTTAGAGTCTTTAATAATAGCCAAGAGTATATACATGTATAATCTGTTAAAACCTATATCGCACCAAGTCTATATAAATTGTAAATCATTCTAACAATAAGAGTCTAAGAGTAAGACCTGCCATCAACAAAACACCATTAAGATATCAACTAACACAGCTATTGATGAGGTTCCTGATTTTGGACATGAACATGACCAAAATATGTGGTGGGGTTAGACAGATTTTGGATATCTCAACCTATAGACTTGATCAGTTGCTTAATAAAAACTAAAAACCAATGTTGCTTTCAGTGACTGTGGGTTGTCTTTGTACTTTATGTACAAATGTACTTGGTGGGTGCACTTCAATGCTTTTGTGGTAGGGTTGAACAGCTGAGACATCTAACACCCAACCCTTTTCATATATTTTAAATGTTAAAAAACAAACATATATATCATGTATTTGTTACATCAAGTAGACCTATAACTATCATGATTAGTCTTTTTCATAAAGAGATTTAATATATTTTACAAAGATCTAATGCAGTTTAGTCATGACATGGTCATGTTAGTGACATCTTCACATTGATTTATTAAAATATTCATAAATAAATATTAAAATAATGTTAAAATTGGAATTGACCTCTGATAGATTTCCATGTTAATTGATACTGTAAATTCAGAAATTATTGCGTGCATTTATTATTACGATTTTGTCATTTTGGACTCAAATGCGATTTTAATTTTTGCAATATTGAGACAAATCCTGTTTAATTAATAAAAAAATTTCAAAATGCGAGTTTAAATTATTGTGATTATAACGCTGTTGCATTTTTCGCAATAATAAAAACATTGCAATAATTTCTGAATTTACAGTATGAAATTATGTTACAAATATAAAAAAGAAGTTGTGGTATGATTGCCAATGAGACCACTCTCCACAAGAGACCAAATGACACAGAAATTAACAACTATAGGTCACCGTACAGCCTTCAAAAATGAGCAAATCCCATACTGCACAGTTAGCTATAAAAGACCCAGAAATGACAATGTAAAACAGTTCAAACGAGAAAACTAACGGCCTAATTTATGTACAGAAAATGAACGAAAAACAAATATGTAACACATAAACAAACGACAACCACTGAATTACAGGCTCCTGACTTGGGACAGGCACATACATACAGAATGTGGCGGGTTTAAACATGTTAGCGGGATCCCAACCCTCCCCTAACCTGGGACAGTGGTGTAACAGTACATGTACAACATAAGAACGAACTATAAAAATCAGTTGAAAGAGGCTTAACTCATCAGATGGATAAAAATACAAATACAAGTGGACGTGGCCGGGTACTTGTACATCCAAACAACAAAAAGACGCTAAGAACAGATCTGAGAGTATTCGCAGTTACTGACAGCTAGTTCAAAGCCACTATAATCAACTAATAAAAAATAATCATGCAGCTAAGACTAAATTATCAATCCGTACACATCCAACATCCAATGGATTTAGTGTAAAGACGTCATAAACAGTCAAGAGAAAAACATGACCTTGTGCAATGCCAAGATACAGGTAATGGTATCTACAGATTGTTGATCCATGAATGTGTATATGTATATAACAATAATATTTAGTTTGCTTTTAATTTACTGATAACAAAATCAATATTAGTACCAATAAAAACAATATTTAATGATCTAATTACAGTGTTGAATTGGTAACCTTTTAGAAAGAGTTTATTTAACTGATCAATAAGTTTACCAGGATTGTTTCTAAATTTCCGGGCTCGGTAAACAATAGTGCCGTAAAATGAGAATGTGCAATCCTGTTTGAAATAAGTTTTCTACAGGTACAACCAAACTTCAAAACCAAATCTTTATATCTGTGGAAGAATTTAGTAAAGGTTTTAAGTAATTTGTGGTAACGAAATCCCTGGCTTAATAATTTACCAGCAATACATAGATTACGTTCTTTAAAATCAAAAACGTCACAAAAGACACGGGCATAGCGAACGAGTTGTGAAATATATTCACCGTAAGATGGTGCCAAAGGAACATCACCATCCAAAAAGGGAAAATTAACAATAGGGAACGAAAAATTGTCCCTTTTGTTGTAAATTTTAGTGTGGAGTTTCCCGTGTAAAACCGAAATATTTATAAGGAATATGTTATTTTTATTTTTTAGTTCCTTTACATTTTGTATATGTTAATATAGCTCTTCAAATGTTTTGGTTCTTAGTTATACATCCTTGGCTTTCAAATATTCGGCTTTGAGTGTTTCCGAGGAAGGTAAATCCAAGAAAGCTCTTTAGATGTTTAGATGTATGAAATTTATAACATGTTGTTTTTTCTATCTTTTCATCAGTGATGCTCAAATAAACTGCTTCGCTGAGCGCAGCTGGATACGCCCGCAGAGGTCCAGCCCTGAACAGTTGGCATGGGGCAAAAATGGACACAATATTCAAGCTTGATACAGGGCTTTGTTTTGATTGTATTAAATATTTGACATATTATAGGTTTCTGAATAAATGTAGTCAGAGAACATGAAATTGGTTATATGAATTGAATTTATATTCAATTAAAGATTTCTTGCTGTTGTGCATTACACTGTGCTGTTGCGCAATACTTAGTAAATCTGTTGTTAGACTATAAACAATTAAAGTTCAATTAATTCTCAATGTCATATTAGAAATTTATGAAAATGTAAAGGGAGCTTACATCAATAGATATACATGTAAACAATTCACCAAAGTTTCATGAGAATTGCTGACAGCATTTTTGAGTTATTGTCTGAAAACTGGAAAATCCCCCCTTTTTTAATGAATAAAACCCCATAACTCAGATATGTAAAATGTAAAATTTATAAAATTCTAAACAGAGCTTACATCAATAGATATAAACAATTCACCAAAGTTTCATGAGAACTGCTGAAAGCATTTTTGATTTTTTGTCCGAAAAACTAGAAAATCCCCCTTTTATTATGAATAAAACCATGTAACTCGGAAACGTAAAATCTGAAATATATAAAAATCGAAAGGGAGCTCATGTCAATAGATATAAACAATTCAACACAATTTCTTGCAAGTTGGTGAAAGCATTCTTGAGTTATTGTCCGAAAACTGGAAAATCCCCCTTTTTTTAATGAATAAAACCCCATAACTTGGAAACATAAAATCTAAAATTTATATAAAAAGAAATGGAGCTCACGTCAATAGATATAAACAATTCACCAAAGTTTTATGCAAATTGGTTAAAGTGTTTTTGAGTTAATTTCCAACATGTTGACGACGGACGGACAGACGGACAACAGTATACCATAATACGTCCCGTCCCGTAAACGGGCGTATAAAAAGATAAATCAGGTTGTCCCAGCAACCATCTGGGAATTCTAGAAAATTCTGTGACAAAAATATAATTTCATCCATACAGCATGAACTATAGTAACATAGCTCATTCCTACCACTTAGTACATACATGTAGTACATGTAATTATATAAGTGTGTCTTTGTTTAACCCTACAACATTTGAATATATCTCCATAATAAGGGATCTTGTCATGGGTTGCCTTGTGTTCATCCTGAATGCTTTTGTTTTACTTTTTAGGCTTTGGACAATTTAGAATTGTAGAGCTTGACATATTCACTTGCATGATCACCTTTCTATTGTTGAAGACTTTATATTGCCTTAGAGAGAATTTTGTTTGTTTGTTGGATTTGTACATATATTTATAAACCACATCTTCTTTTATTCACAGGTACATGTATGATTTAACTTTACTAACTTATATGTCATGTATGTATCTCAAAATTTAATTAGGTACCGTTAGATTTTTTTTTTTTTAAATCTTCCTTTAACTTTTCAATCAAAACTAGGAAATTAGCTAGACCTATAATATAAGACTTCGAAGGTTTATATCATTTTAGATTCAACACTTTTTATCCAATATTTTTTTTTTACTATCAATGTTGAACCTCAAAAAAAATATACAATAAAAATCGTTGAACATGTTGAATGTAAATGATACAGAGGCGGATTTAGAGGGTTTTTCAGGGGGCCCGGGCCCCCCTTTTGTTGGAAAAATTTGGTTGATTATATAGGGAATCACTGAAGCATGACTGGAGCGGGCCCCCTCTTATGAAAATTTCTGGACCCGCCACTGTGATATGAACCTTCAAAGTCTTATATTATAGGACTAGGAAATTAGCATGTTAAACAGTTTAAAAAACTTCAACAATTTTTGTTAATCCCTTTGTTAATTTTCCTTTTTTGGAGGCAGTGATTTCCTTTGGCCTTTTATCAGGGTGTTTATGTATTTTACAACAATTTTGCTATGCCAGTGCCTGTAATAGATATATCTGTGTATCACTGGTAAATTATTAAGTCAGGGATTTCAGTACCACATATTTCTTAAAACCTACCTCAATTCTTTCAGAGACTTGGTTAAAAAGTTTGACTGCACATGTAGAAAACTTACAAATTCTGAGTTTTATGGTGATGTTGTTTATATAATCTACATGTATTGAATTTTTATACCATCCATTTGAACTTGTCAATTCTTGGTGGATGCTTATTAATGTATAAAAGGTTATCTATTAAGCTATGTCATGTCTTTTGGTGTTGGCCTTGATTTTATTTTTTTTTTAAATGAGAGCATAAACTAAATATGATTTTCTATACTGTTATGAACACTTACAGTCCTTTACATGCAAATGATTTAGAGGTTTGGTAGCATGTTTTCTGGATGTGCTTATGCTGTCCTAAGTCAGGAGCTTATGGGTCAGCGGAAGGCTAAGTGGGTGTCTATGGTATTTGATTTTCATGTTTAGTTTTGTACATTTATAAATCAGATGTTGAATTTCTCATACTGATTCAAAATTGATAGTAAAAAAAAATATCTGATAAAAAACGTTGAATGCAAATTTTATGAATCTTCGAAGTCTTATATTTATATAGGACTTAGAAATTAGCATGTTAAACAGTTTAAAAAACTTAAACAATTTTTGTTCCCCTTTGTTAATTTTCCTTTTTTGGAGGCAGTGAAATTTCCTTTTGCCTTTTATCAGGGTCACAACAGTTTATGTATTTTACAACAATTTTGCTATGCCAGTGCCTGTAATAGATATATCTGTGTATCACTTGTAAATTATTTAGTCAGGGATTTCGGTACCACATATTTCTTAAAACCTTACTCAATTCTTTCAGAGACTTGGTTAAAAAGTTTGACTGTACATGAACAAAACTTACAAATTCTGAGTTTTATGGTGATGTTGTTTATATAATCTACATGTATTGAATTTTTATACCATCCATTTGAACTTGTCAATTCTTGGTGGATGCTTATTAATGTATAAAAGGTTATCTATTAAGCTATGTCATGTCTTTTGGTGTTGGCCTTGATTTTATTTTTTTTTTAAATGAGAGCATAAACTAAATATGATTTTCTATACTGTTATGAACACTTACAGTCCTTTACATGCAAATGATTTAGAGGTTTGGTAGCATGTTTTCTGGATGTGCTTATGCTGTCCTAAGTCAGGAGCTTATGGGTCAGCGGAAGGCTAAGTGGGTGTCTATGGTATTTGATTTTCATGTTTAGTTTTGTACATTTATAAATCAGATGTTGAATTTCTCATACTGATTCAAAATTGATAGTAAAAAAAAATATCTGATAAAAAACGTTGAATGCAAATTTTATGAATCTTCGAAGTCTTATATTTATATAGGACTTAGAAATTAGCATGTTAAACAGTTTAAAAAACTTAAACAATTTTTGTTCCCCTTTGTTAATTTTCCTTTTTTGGAGGCAGTGAAATTTCCTTTTGCCTTTTATCAGGGTCACAACGGTTTATGTATTTTACAACAATTTTGCTATGCCAGTGCCTGTAATAGATATATCTGTGTATCACTTGTAAATTATTTAGTCAGGGATTTCGGTACCACATATTTCTTAAAACCTTACTCAATTCTTTCAGAGACTTGGTTAAAAAGTTTGACTGTACATGAACAAAACTTACAAATTCTGAGTTTTATGGTGATGTTGTTTATATAATCTACATGTATTGAATTTTAATACAATCCATTTGAACTTGTCAATCCTTGGTGGATGCTTATTAATGTATAAAAGGTTATCTATTAATTTAAGCTATGTCGTGGGATCTTTTGGTGTTGGCCTTGATTTTGTTTTTTTTTTAAATGAGAGCATAAACTAAATAGGATTTTCTATACTGTTATGAACACTTACAGTCCTATACATGCAAATGGTTAAGATGTTTGGTAGCATGTTTTCTGGATGTGCTTATGCTGTCCTAAGTCAGGAGCTTATGGTTCAGCAGAAGGCTAAGTGGGTGCCTATATGGTATTTGTTTTTCATTTTTAGTACATTTATAAATCAGATGTTGAATTTCTCATTTATATTATAAATAACATAAACAACCAAAATGATGAAGATAATTGTAAACTTTATACATAAAAGAATATAAACACCTTTAAATATTGGATATAAATTAAAAAAAAACTATGTTTCAAACCTCTGTCGAAACTTTACCTTAGATTAATTTGCTATTTCTTTTAGGTCCCTTTTGGTCTTATGCTCTTTGTATGATCAGGTACTAATAATACATCCTTGCAACGTATTGGCTGTCAAAGGGTTTGTTTGCACTGGGTATTCCTGTTGACAGGTCAATCCAGGAAAGTGCCTCAGTCACACAAGATTTGTAAAGTATTTAGTTCTTTTCAGAGTAGTTCAGCTACTGGCAAACTGTTAATCCATTTAATATAAGGACTTGTCCTCTGTATACAGGAAACATTTGCCATTGGATTTTAAGCAAACAGTAGTCAGTCCATTGATTCTAAAAAAATCCCCCTACTTTTCCTTCTTACTATCTTAAGCTAGTCTCCTGAAACAAAACAAAAAGACCTCTCAAGCATTATCAGATTGTATAAGAGTTATATGCCATTGATTATATAGGGAGAGTTTTAACTCTAAATATTTCAGTAATAAAAATGTGTGTATCCAGTTTTTTCTCTTTTCCACTAGTCCCTTTTGGTGCTACATGTACTATTTTACATAAAACTTTGCACTGTAACATGTTAGGTGAAACATGCAATATCATATATATTTTCATCTTCCTTGGTTCCCTTCCAAACATTTTAAACAGGTTCTAGTGTGTTGATTTGCTTGTAAATTGAGTTATGGTAAATAAAGTACATGTATAAAATTGTACCATAGATTTTCTATGACATCTCAAATAATTCATGTAATTTGGAATTAGTGTAAATGTAGACTTGAACTTTTCTGATCAAAAGAAGTGCTCCTTTGAATGAGGAATACAGATTAGCAGAAAACAAAATTTTAATCTGACTTTGAATTTATTTGTATTGCTTTGTATTTAAAAACATTAAATAAATGTTTTACTTCAATAGACATATTTACCTTTTGTTTACAGTTTTCATCACACAAAGGTCACGTGAGGTGGTGTTTAGACACAACAAATTTGCATACCATTACCACTGCGCCTGTGCGGAAATGGACATTTATGTGCCAAAAAAAACAACAGTAACGTTGATCTCAGACAACATTGTCTCCATATTTTATTATTTACTAGAATAATTGGACAGTTGAAAACCCGACTTGTCGCATCAATTAATACAATCATGATTTAGCTAAATAGTAAGTAAGAGTATCTGTCACTACACTATTTAGAAAAGTCGATCAACTTGATTCAAAGTAAATCCATTTCAGACATAATACAAATGTATTTTGTGTGAAATTGAAAATCTGGCCTTTTACTTGACCATGATTGGTCCAAACCCATTACTTTATCCTTTACCGACCTTACTCTATCCCATCTACTTCTGCTTCTTCCATATAGTGACCCCTTTCTTTTATAACAACTGAACAAGACAGATTTATATTATACAGACTATTACTATTACTGTTTAAAAAAGGAAAAAGGAATATTTCAAATGTTTGATGTGAATAATGTGACTTAATATTGATGTTTTGAAATTTTTGATTGTTATTTTAACCCATCTTGCTGCCGGAGGGGCACATGTGTCCACATCAGCTGTGCTGGAGCTATACACTCCATGGTTTTTTTGTATGCAAGCTTCTCACTATTACATGTATTACTGTATCTCTTTCAAGTAAAAGACCGAAGATTAAACAGTGAAGTATGTTTCTTCAATGGCTTCCAAATGAAGCAGTCATTAGGGCGTGGTATAATATCGAGTGACATCACAAAGGTTGAGCTGTCATATTTTCTGGTACACGAAATGCAACCTTGTAAAACTACTGGCAGCTGCCAGAGGGTTCAACTTCAAGAGTTTAACCCTCTTACTGCTGGAGGGACAAATGTGTCCTTATCTACACAGGGACACGTGTCCATGTTTTAATTTATGCAAGCTTCTCACCTTTGCTCTCTTTCAGTTTCAAATAAAAGATTGAAGATGAAACTAATATTTTTCTTCAATGGCTCCCAAATGTAACTGTCTTTAGAGTGTGACGTCTAATATGGAATGATGTCATTGCTGGGCATGTGACTTCACAGACATCTAGCTGTATTTTTTTCTGGCACATAAAATGCAATCTTAAAAAACTGCTGGCAGCAAGAGGGTTAATGATGTTATGGGGTACATGTAGTTTGCTCCAGTCAGTTTATATTCTTTGGGAAGAAAGATTCTTTTATGTTCTGTGTTGTGCAGGGTGGAATACACCAATCTTGAGATGTTTTTATGAATGAGTTACATTGATTGACCAGAGGACAATTAGGTTTGAAACAACATAATAAAACAATTGGTTCTTACCGTGGGACGTATTAACCTTAGCATTGTGACATAAGAAATTTACAGGAAAGTGCACAAATTTGATACTTGTCTATTGTTTTAAATTTGTGATAAGATAAGTTAAGGAGGAATGGCCGAAACCACTTATGCTTATGTTAAGTCAAGCATATTTGGTATGCAGTTGTATAAGCATTTGCAAGTCTCTTCAATGGAAATTATATGGCCCCCTCCCCTCATCATGGTTCATTGACTTTGAACTTTATACTTTGTTCACATGTAAAGTTTGAGTTTTGGGGAACAAGCACCACTTAAGATAAGCCAATAGTATTTGGTATGCAATTTTATAAGCATGAACATTTCTCATTTGCATGAAGTTTATATGGTCCTGCACAATAAGTCATGGTTCATTGACTTTGAATTTTTTGCATACATTGTAGTTTACATGTTTAAATGTGTATATACAGGGAATATGATATTTGCATTATACTACCAAAACTACAATAAGGCGGTACATGTACATATCTATATATATATAGCAATTAAGATTGGAGTCTAACGCCTGTTACATGCAGGATTCAACCTCAGAACCTCAGTATTGACAAGCTAGTGATACAATAGTTGGACCGCTAAGACCATTTCGGCCACTTAGGCCCCTTTCATTCATTAAAGGAAATTGGAAACACATCTGTTTGCCCTGAAAAATCTCTAAGATACATTTCTGTATGTCAGTTTCTTTTTTGAACAGTATGCTGTCCATTATCACTGAACTAGTACACAATTTTGTTTATGGGCCAGCTGAAGCATGCCTCCGGGTACAGGCTTTTCACGCTGTGTTTAAGACCAATTGGTGACCTTCAGCTGTTTTCTGCTCTTTGGTCGAGTTGTTGTCTCTTTGACGCATTCCCCATTTCCATTCTCAATTTGAAGTCTATGCTAGAAATTCTGGGTTTTTTTTTTCAACTTGGTAAAGAGTAATTTATTGATGAAGCCCTCTGCCATCAAGCCTAAGATGATTTAAGATATTTTGTAAGTATAAAATCCAAACAATGGGATTGTTACTAAATACAAACACACATAAACAAACATATGACAAATATTTAACATTTACAAAAAATATTAAAATGTTCATCATGCCGCCTGTTTAAATTAGCATTAAATGATTATTGTCGAGCCTGCGACTTTTGTCGCAGAAAGCTCGACATAGGGATAGTGATCCGGCGGCGGCGGTGTTAGCTCACTTCTTAAAAGCTTTATATTTTAGAAGGTGGAAGACCTGGATGCTTCATACTTTGTATATGGATGCCTCATGTTAAGAAGTTTCCGTCAGTCACATGTCCAATGTCCTTGACCTCATTTTCATGGTTCAGTGACTACTTGAAAAAAAAGTTAAGATTTTTTGTAATTTTAAATTCTCTCTTATTATATTTATAAGTAATAGGATAACTATATTTGGTATGTGCGTACCTTGCAAGGTCCTCATGCCTGTCAGACAGTTTTCACTTGACCTCGACCTCATTTCATGGATCAGTGAACAAGATTAAGTTTTGGTGGTCAAGTCCATTTCTCAGATACTATAAGCAATAGGTCTAGTATATTCGGTGTATGGAAGGACTGTAAGGTGTACATGTCCAACTGGCAGGTGTCATCTGACCTTGACCTCATTTTCATGGTTCAGTGTTTATAATTAATTTAAGTTTTTGTGTTTTGGTGTGTTTTTCTTATACTGTATGCAATAGGTCTACTATATTTGGTGTATGGA